AGCGAAAGGAGCTCAAGAAAGGTGGGATCATAGGAGAAGGGTTTAATTAAGGGAGAAACAGGAAAAAATGGGGGCACTTTAAATGGGGAAACCATGTGGAGGGGTTAGACAATGCAAGAGACAAATAATGCCTTGCTAGTTTAAAAAAAACAGAGGAAATCATATTAATAAACAACCTACTGACAAATTATACATACAACTAGCTCAAGGAATATGATACATGTCTGGTCAAGGTTTATCTGAGAATGTTTGGTCTTTGCCCTAGCTTTATCTACACATCACATGGTAATTAAAAGTACCAGACTGATGGAACTAACCTTCTTGGATGTCTAACAGCCATACTTTGAGGCCTATGCTAATTTGGTGAGAAGGACATAAAGGACAGTTTTTGCTCCTTGCCCTCCTAAGTCAACTAAGCTCTAGGGGACTATGAGCATCTCTCAAAATGTCCTGTAAGTGTCATGAGTCACCTGTCCTCTTGATCAAGGATGCCATTCAGGCATTTTCTGGCACCTGAGAACCCATATTAGTATCCAACACATCTGAGCAGTGGTAATTGCCGCCAGGTTGGAACCTTGGAACCTGGTCCTGCCTTAGCAGCAGATGGCAGAACTGCTCTGAACCCCGCAGAAGACAAGTCAAAGCCTCAGGGAGAAGTGGAAGTTGGAATTCATCTAACAGTGGAGGGGCTGGGAGTATAGCTCAATGGCAGTGTTTGCCTAGTGTGCATGAGGCCCTGCATTCAACCCCCAGCACTGAACAGAACCAGAATAAATTGCTCTCCTTGGACTCAACAGACTTTTCCTAGAAGGTCCAAACTCAGAAACACCTTGATGGAGCTCTCATTCACTGAAGATGAGGTGGCAGCTTCAGTACTGACTGGGCTACCAACCCTTCAAATACAGAGCAGGACAGTCAGGAAAACACACACACACACACATGCACACACGCACACATGCACACACACGTGCACACACACCGCACGCACACACACACGCACACACACCACACACAGGTGGAAACTGTAAAGTGCCCTTATAGAAATTCAAGACAGACAAAGCCCAAACTTTAAAATAATCTAAGCAAAGAACAACAACAAAATTCAAAAACCAATGAAAACACTTTTCAAATTGAACAGCTTGGAGGAAAAAAAAAAAAACAAACCCATTAACCATCCCCAAACAATGAGAAAACACATCAAATTGAATAGATTGGGGGGAAATATGACCAAATTCCAATGGCTGACTCTTAAGTTTTGCTTCAAGAGAGAAGTTTGGTGGGGGAAAAGCATGAAGTACATATGAAAAAGTTTCCAGAAAAGCAAGTCCATCCTGGGTTTGACAGCGCCCTGACGTTTTCTGCTGTGGGACACTTTAAACAGGAAAGGCAGCCCAGACTGTGATGAGGCCTGCGTAGGGTGCAGTCCAGAGTACGTGCACATGTACAAGGTGGTCCTGCTGGGATTCCCAGCACCAGGGGGTGGTTTGTGTAATATTATGTCTGCAAGACTCTTAGATTCTATGAGAGAGGAAAAGAGAGTAAAGGCTGTGTTTGGCAAGGGAGTCTGAAAGGGGATAACTTACAGTCTTGCAAGGAAAAAGAGGACCAAAATATCAGAGCTGAAGATATGTTTGCTATTTCCCCTCAACTAAAGAAACTGCACTTTGTCTACTTTGGTACAGAAGAGGATTCTATTGAAGTAAGAATCTTGTAACTCATCCTGGTATCAATTAAGAAAACAAAAAATGAATAAATTCATATAGTTATTATGAAAAAAATCACAAAGTAATTTTGGACATACCTCAACTGCTGAAAATTATTCCACTGAAAAGACAGCACAAGGGACGGTCTAGAAGTGCAGGCTTGTATTCTTAGCAACTGGAGGCTGAGGCAGGAGGAGAACAAGTTCAAGACCAGCCTGGGCAATGTGGTAAGACCCTGTCTCAAAGGAAAATGTGAAAAGGGGGCTTGGGATGTACTCATGGTAGAGTGTTTCCCTAGCATGCATAACGCTCTGGTTCAATTCTCAGCATTGAAAAGCAAAATGAAACAGGTTAAAAAAAATCACAAAATAAAATGACAACATTTCACTCTGAATTAATTGTATGCAAACAAGTTTAGGAAAGTATTTAGAAAACTGTCTTGAATCAGAAATGAAGAGAACATATGTAAAGAAAGAAAAAAGCAAAACAAAACAGGAAGGTTTGGAAAGGAACTTGATTGAGCCCAGGGTAGAGGCGAAGGAAAGAAAATTTTCTTATAAATGAATAATGAATTATATATATATAATAAAACAGATTCATATGGAAATTTGGTAAAGAACATTAATAAAGGGGAAAAAACACCAAAAGATGAATATGGGAATAAAGAAATAATAATTAGAAGAGAGTGAAATGAGATGCTAGAGAGAAAGAAGCAGCTTCCACATGCAGCAAAACCGAGAGAACCCATCAGAAGCAGCTGGAAGGGCTTGAGCAGAGGCTCACTAGCCATTCTCCGAGAGACAGAGCAGAGCAAGAGGGAGGCAGGAGCAGGGCCAGAGACAAATACCACAGCAGTGTGCCACTCACTGGGGCCGCGTGCCTCACCTCATCTCAAGTGCCTGTGACTTACAAATCTAGCCATGTACTGGATTACCAAAAAGTCAGTAAATACCCTCTCTCTCTTAGTTTGACTAGGAAATAAAATGTGGGTTGGAGTGTAGCTTGGTGATGAACTCTTGGCTCTACCCCTTCTTCTTTTTCTTTCCCCCTCCTTCCCCCTCCCTCCATTCTTCCCTCCCCTTCTCTCATTTCCTTTCATCTCTCCTTTTTTTAAAAACAGGGTTTCTCTAGTCCTAGCCAACCTGGAAATCACTATGCAGAACCAGGCTGACCTAGATCTTACAGAGATCGTCCTGCCTCTGTCTCCTGAGAGCTGAGATTAAAGAAAGGCACGTGCCTCCAAGCCCAGCATTTCTCTCCTTTTCTTAAAGAAAAAATAATATGAAGGGACTTTATATAAAGGGACTTTTTTTGTACTTGTGTTTAGTTTTAAAAATATTTTATATATTATTTTTATTTTATATGTATGAGTGTATTGCCTACATGTACGTACGTGCACCTGTGTGGTGCTATGCCCACAGAGGTCAGAAGAGGGCATCAGATCCCACTGGAACTGGAGCTACAGATAGTTGTCAGTTGCCATATGGGTGCTGGGAATCAAGCCCCTGTCCTCTGCAAGAGCAGTCAATGCTCTTAACCACTGAGCCAACTCTCCCACTCTACTTGTCTTTATTTTAAGAATATTTATTCATTGTGTGTGTGTGTGTGTGTGTGTGTGTGTGTGTGCATGTGTGGATATGGGTGCCCACAACCATAGTGTGCATGTACACGTCAGAGATAATCTTGAGTGAGGGACTCTTATTGTCCTGGAACTTTTCAAGTAGGCTAAGCCAGCTGGTCAGTGACCCTACAGGGACCTCTCTGTGCCTCCTGTCTCAGCATCACTGGGGTTACAGGCACCTGACTTTTTACATGAGTTCTTGGGATTTGAACTCAGGTCCTCAAACTTGCAAAACAAATGCTTTTTTTTTTTTTTTTTTGAGATAGGGTCTCACAATGTAGCCCTTGCTGGCCTAGAACTCACTATGCAGACCAGGCTGGCCTCAAACTCATAGAGATCCACCTGCCTCTGCCTCCTGAGTGCTGGAATTAAGGGTGTGTGCCACCACACCTGGCAGCAAGGCAGGTGCTTTATGAACTGAACCATCTCTCCATCTCTATAGTTGATTTCAAATTAAAACACTTTTTTTCTTACCAGTCCATACTGCATACTAGCATGTCTTCCCCGTCTTCTTCCCACCACCCTCCTCTCTCACTCCCACCCTCCTATTCGCTCCTCTGTTTTCTTAGTCTAGTCTCTTCTACTTTCACTTAATTCATGCACACATGATTTATATGACTATAGAAAACATAGGGACCATGAGTGAGAAAAATGTCATATTTGTTTTTCTGACTAACAATTACTCACTAATTGTCACCAGTTGCTTCCATTTTCCTGCAAAAACATAACTTCTTTCTTCTTTATGACTGAAAAAAATTCATTGTATATGTGTTCCATATTTTCCTTATTCCTCTGTTGCTGGTACCTGGACCAATTCCACAGCTTAGCTGTTAGGAAAAGTGCTGCAGGAAACATTGATGTGCAAGTATCTCTGTGATACAGTCCTTTGGGTAAATACCTGGGAATGGTACAGCTGGGTCAGATGGTAGACTGATTTCTGTTGGGTTTTTTTTTATTTTTATTTTTTAGAAACCCCTATACTCATTTCCATAGAGTCTGGACCAGTTTACATTCCCATCAGTAGTGTATAAGGTTTCCCTTTAGCCCACATACCTGCCAGCATTTGCTATTTGTCTTCTTTTTTTAAAGATCTTTTTATTTTTCATTTTTATTTTATGTGTAGGTGTGTATGATTCGTACTTCTTTTTTTTTTTCTTTTCCAATTCCCATTTATTTTTGGCTCTTGGGGAAATGCCATCTGAAATTCAATATGAAAAAAAAGCAAGTTCAACACAAAATAGAAATCTGAAGTGTAGGAAAAATGGGGGTGGGGGAGTGACCCAAAGCAACAGACAGACACCTCCAAAGACAGATGCAGCTGAGGATAGCTGGGGGACCGTAGGTGGAGACAATACTGTATAGTTCCCTCCTGAGGCTGAGATGGAATAGGTGAAACACAGACTGAAAACCCACCCTCTTCCCACCAGTGACTGGGACCTGCCATGCCTAACCCTCATTCCGTCATCTACTACTTAGGCTTGGGATGGTGGCCACTGTCGGTTTTCAGCACTGGGCTGGTTCTAAATGGGATCTGGAAGAGACTCAAGTTTCCTGTAAAATTTTTCTGGAAGAATATTAAACTGAACAGTTATGAGAAGTGGGTACCAGGAGGAAATAAAAGGTAACCCAGAAGGGCAGAAAGCTGGGTCCATCAGAGTGGAAAGAGAAAGGAGACGTTCCACAAACAAATATTTATTGAGCGCCTACTATGTGCCAGGCACTATTCATCCCCCAAAACAAAAAACCAGGACAGAGGCAGTAGAAATAAATTCTGAAGGAGGAAAGGGGCAGGCGAAGAAAGCTGAGGGAACTGGGAAGCCTGAGGTGACGCAGGGCTCTGCCTTTAGGCCTCCTCTTCTGCCTCCTCACCGAAATCCTCTTCCTCTTCTGCAGTGGCATCCTGGTACTGCTGGTACTCGGAGACGAGGTCGTTCATGTTGCTCTCGGCTTCAGTGAACTCCATCTCGTCCATACCCTCACCTGTGTACCAGTGGAGGAAAGCCTTCCGGCGGAACATGGCTGTAAACTGCTCGGAGATGCGCTTGAAGAGCTCCTGGATGGCTGTGCTGTTGCCAATGAAGGTGACAGCCATCTTGAGGCCACGTGGAGGGATGTCACAGACAGCGGTCTTGACGTTGTTGGGGATCCATTCCACGAAGTAGCTGCTGTTCTTATTTTGCACATTCAGCATCTGCTCGTCCACCTCCTTCATGGACATGCGCCCACGGAAGACAGCGGCCACGGTGAGGTACCGGCCATGGCATGGGGGCAAAGGGGTCACAGGCAGCCATCATGTTTTTGGCATCGAAGACCTGCTGGGTGAGTTCAGGCACGGTGAGGGCCCGATACTGCTGGCTTCCACAGCTGGTGAGAGGAGCAAAGCCAGGCATGAAGAAGTGGAGCCGTGGGAAGGGCACCATGTTAACTGCCAGCTTGCGGAGGTCAGCATTGAGCTGGCCAGGGAAGCACAGGCAGGTGGTGACGCCGCTCATAGTGGCTGAGTTGTCAATGCAGTAGGTCTCATCAGTGTTCTCTACCAGCTGATGGACGGAGAGGGTGGCATTATAGGGCTCCACCACTGTGTCGGTCACTTTGGGTGAGGGCACCAGGCTGAAGGTGTTCACGATGCGGTCAGGGTACTCTTCTCAGATCTTGCTGATGAGCAGGGTGCCCATTCCAGACCCAGTGCCTCCACCCAGCGAGTGGGTCAGCTGGAAGCCCTGCAGGCAGTCACAGCTCTTGGCCTCCTTCCGTACCACATCCAGGACAGAGTCGACCAGCTCCGCCCCCTCTGTGTAGTGGCCCTTGGCCCAGTTGTTACCTGCCCCGGACTGACCAAAAACAAAGTTGTCTGGTCTGAAGATCTGGCCAAAAGGACCTGAGCGAACAGAGTCCATGGTCCCAGGTTCTAGATCCACCAGGATAGCTCGAGGAACATACTTGGCGCCTGTGGCTTCGTTGTAGTACACCGAGATGCGATCCAGCTGCAGGTCGCTGTCCCCGTGGTAGGTACCGGTGGGGTCGATGCCGTGCTCATCGCTGATCACCTCCCAGAACTTGGCATCGATCTGGTTGCCACACTGGCCGGCCTGGATGTGCACGATTTCCCTCATGGTTACGGTTGACTGCAACAAATTTTTGCTCGCTTCAAGGTATGTACCGAGCAAGAAAATATATTAATAAGGATTTTTTTTTTTTCTGGGCTGGTCGCGGGCTGAAAGAATGGAACGTGGCCCCGGAGGCTGGAGCGGCGAGATGCAAGCTCCAGGGCAGAAGGATTCTCGATTCGTACTTCTTTAATACCTAATGAGCTTTATCTTTTTTCATACATTCATTGGCCATTTGTACTTTATCTTCTGTTCATTTCATTAGCTCATTTACTGATTGGGTTATCTTTTCAGAGTCTAGATTTTATTTCACTGTCAGATGTACAGTGTCAAAGATCTTGTCCCTTCTGCAGGTTGTCTCTTCATGTGGCTAATTCCTTCCTTTGAGAGACCCCTCCTTTACTTTTTATCACACAGAGACATCTGCAAGGGTGGCCACAGTGCAGTGGCAGAGAGGGCACACCTGCTCTGGAGAGCTGTCAGCATAGAAAGGAGGGACACTGGCCAGACTTGAGAGTCTTCTGTTCTGCTGGGTCCTGGGGAGACTGAGCTCCATAGCTCCCATTATTTTAAAATGGATTAGCTCGAAGTTCACTCATAAGACAATGTTTTAATTGGGATTTACATGGACTTCATTCTGTTTTCCCACCTCCTCCCTGCCTAAGTCTTAACTGCTGAAAGACATCTGTGCTCTGGGAGGTTGAATAAAACCCTCATCAAAGGGGTTAAGTGTTATCCTTTACCACCCTGCAGAAATAATCTCTATCTATTAACTGCCTCAAATTCTTTAGGTATAAGGTTTCATATGAAGGATTTTGCAAGGACATTTTATACATGGTGACTGTTCTATTGACTATTCCTATCTAATTCTAGTTTAACAGTTGCCTTTGGTTATATATGTTATTAAATTTACAAAAATCTTCCATCTGTCACAGAATCCCAGGATGATTATTACAAAGGAAACCTTTCATAAACTTTTGAATGTGTATTGCACTGCTAAGGCAGCAAGACTTCAAAAGAAAAGAATTAAATGTTCTCTCTCTCTCTCTCTCTCTCTCTCTCTCTCTCTCTTTCTCCCCCTCTCCTTTCCCCCTCCCACTCACCCTCTGCACATGCACGGTATGGATGGACCCGAGGGCAAGCATTCTATCACTGAGCTATACTCAGCACCATATTTTATTTCCTAGTAGATTAAACTGAGGAAAGGAAGGGGTGGAGGGAAGGAGGGGAAAGAGGAATGAGGTGGAGTAGGGAAGAAACTGACCCCCCTTAAAGGCTGATCTTTGTGTACACAACCTCACTTGGGCTTGAACTGTCTACCAAAGAGCTACAGTGACCCACTTTATCTGCATTTCTGTACCCCGTGGTTGCAGATGCCCATGGTCCACTGAAGTATGAAATACTACATGGAAAATCCCAGAGAAACATTCACATGACTTATTAGAGCACTTTTATAACATTTTGTTCTATTATTAATAAAAGATTCTAACCTTGAAGTTAAATTTTATCATAGGTGTGCATATATAAAAGAGGACAGCATATGTGGGGCTTGGAATTATCTATGGTTTCAGGTTTGAGCACATATCCTGATGATAAGGGGGACAGGGACGATTGTATTTACACCTGGTTTAACTACCACTAAGTAAAATTGTAAGAATAACACATTTCATGTTAAATAACACAGTGAATACAAATAAAATCCACAAAAGGCATAGACAGAATAGAAAACATAGCGATGAGTGGAGCTGCCCACTATTTGCCTCCTAGCGACCTGTGGAGAACGGACTACACAGAAATGCAATTCCACATTTCATGGGGCTGTTTCGGAGGAATGGCGGGAAGATAAAGTAAAAGCCTGGAAGAAAAGAAGAGTGAACGGTACACACGGGAGAGGCCAGGTGACTATTGCTCAACCAGACATTCCAGGAGCAGCTTCATGGGAAGCAACAAGACGAGCAGAAGCATTTCCAAGTGCCCATCTCTGAGAACCAGGACCTACATTCGAGATCCGATCTCTGGTCTCAGCTGACTGGCTTATGCCATAAAAGAGTAGTCTCTGCTTTATTCTTCAGATGTCAAGCTTAACTATGGCATCAGCTTAGTTTTGACTTTTTTGAAGTTGAGTGGACAAAAACCCCTGCCATTCCTCCTTGAGCTGATCTTTTGGGCATTCCTGCATGTCCCTGAGCCTCTAGTTTTGCCCCAGTTCCCCTAGTAGGGTAATAACAACCCCGTGGCTGACCTGAACTACCCTAAGTGATGACTCAGTTGGTTTGCTCTGCAAATGTCAAAGTAACTTGTAAATTCTTTCTATGCCTAATGTCTCTACCAGCTCTTTGTATGTGGCTCCATCTGTCCATCACCAAAATACATATATAGGAATTCTCGAATGTTTTCTCTAAAATAAATTTTTACAATTTTGATATGTTTCTAGCTAGCTCTACATACTGACAAAGAAGTGGGAGGTGGGTACCTTATGAAGGCGACAGTGTTTTCACCCTGGCAATGTGAGTTGACCAGAAATGAGTTGACTGGATTTGGGGAGGGGGTGGTCAGATGATCAGGTGGAGACCTATCTAGCTGAAACACATTCATGGATCTTTGGTTTATGGAAGTTTTGTGTGCTTCAGCTGAATTCTCAAGACTGCTAATTTTATGCCTCATTCTTTTATCCAATTCTCTGTCCCTCTCTGCCCTCGACCCTCCACTGTTCCCTCCGTGTGTCACCTCTTGGCTGCTTATTTATACCAGATACTCTCCAACATATTCTGGGGATGAGGACATGTGTATTCTCTGCCTTTACAGAACAATGGAAACAGAATTGGACATCACAGCACAGAAGAACACAGGCCATGGTACAGCCCACAGGATGGTGGAGGGTCCAGGAGAGCTTCCTGGAGGATATGATGTCTGACTGACTTTGGAAGGGCATATTAGTTCTGTAAGAGCAAGGGCGTTTCTCCACAAGAAGGCAAGAGATACACAGGCTGGGACTTGGGTGTGTTGTTTTACTTCTGGCCACTTGTCTGGGGCACACCCACCTATTCCTTGGGATTTAGGGATAGATTTTTATGCAGTGACCCAAGTCACTAAAGTAAGTGACTCTTAACTAGGGTGACTTATCTTGTAGATTGCTGCCCTCAATTCATAAGCATCCCTTGGTTAGCAATCACCTTGAAATTATCCTCAGGCAGAAATTCCCAGCCCACTAGATTATAGCACTAAGACCTGACCTGCTGGTGTTGCTGCAGGAATTAAATAAATCTGAATGTAAGGGAATCACTGTTTTAGAGCAACATAGTATCCACCAATGGGTTAGAGAGGCAGTGTGCTTTTCAGTGTATACACTTAGAATTTAATCTACAGAATTTTATACATTCATTTTGGGGTCAATTTTTACTCCTTGATTAGCTCATGAGAATCGTGAAGAAAAAGAAATTTATTTTTAATTCTTTAGCACCCCCCCCCCCAAACTCTTAGCATAAGCTTTACTTGGGGGGATTTTTAATGACTAGATTAGTAATGCTCTCACTTGAAATTCTGATTCAGTAGATTTGGGGCAGGCTGTAAATTCCTGTGTTTCAAACAATTGTTCCAGGAAATTCTTACTGTTGTGCTAATTCACATGACATGATACAGTTAGTCCTTATCCAGATATTAGACATTAAACAAATACATCCCTCTATATCACAGGCGTGTTCATGATTATTATGGTGACTATGTACATTTTACAGATTAGGAAACTACAGCTCTAAGAGAAGTGATTTGCCTAACAGCGTACTATTAGTCAGGAAATGATCTGTATGTAAATCCAAGACTTCTGGCTCCCCTTAGATTATGGACCAAATGATAGGCATTAAAATTGTAAGCTCTAATTGTGGCTTATGTTAGGGCTTGGGAAGTTAATGTTTCTAATTAGACTTCATGTTTTTTAGGTTGTGAAACTTCAGATATCCCTAGATTTTTCTTCTTTTGTTTTTGCAGTGCTGATTATAGAATACAGGGTTATGCATAACAGCTTAACCACTAAGCTACATTCTTGGCCAAGATAGTCATAGTTGTTAATGTAGTGTTTATGTGGAAAAAAATGTTGCTTAGAGCAAATCAAGCTAAGTTGACTTTGGAGGGTTTCAATTTGTTATTCCAGAGCTATCTCATTTAGTTAAAATTGTTTTCCTTCTTTAAAAAATTATTTAGTTATTTTTATTTTATTTGGATGAATGTTTTGCCTACATGTAAGTGTAGCCATGTCGAACAGTGCCCCCAGAGACTAAAAGAGGGCACTGGATCCCCTGGAACCAGAGTTACAGATAGCTATAGCTACCATGTGGGAATGGAACCCAGATCCTCTGCAAGAGCAGGCAGTGCTCTTAACTGCTGAGCCATCTCTCCAGGTCCAATATAGCTTTCTTTAAAAAGAAGGTTATCTATTATTTACATAGTTGAAATCCTTAAATTATACAACTGTGTGTGTGTCTTTTCAAGATAAAAATGCTAACCATGTAAAATGAAACACAGGAAAGCACAACAGAGAATTATTCATCTTATTTAATTTAGTAGCTGCTACTATTTCCTAGAAAGCTCACTCTGATATTTGCTAAGCAACACTAAATAATTAAGTAACTTCATCTTTGTTTTTAATAATTTTATCAAAATCAGAAGGAAATTTACTTCGAGTTTACTTACTGGAAAATGGTTTGTTGGAACTTCTGGATAAGATACTGGAATAGAAGTGGCTTCCATATGACATAGTGAATAAGATGAATAAGGACAGCAGAGAACCTTCAAAGTTCCAAAGAAAGAAAGGGAAGAACATCAGAAATCACCAAGGGAGGGCCAGAGGAGCTGAAATAGTGCAAGAGATAGGTGGCTCAATGAAAAGAGCACTTGGTATTCTCTCTGAGTGATACTGGGGACCAAACCCTCCAAAATAGGCTTATCATTAATAAGATTTCTAAATAAAGCTAGAAAAAAACACCTAAATGAGTAGCTATGAAAATTGCAGCACAGGACGTAAAAAAAAAAAAAAACATAGCAAAGTAAGGCAACATGATACCCCCCTCCAAAACACTGAAATGAGCAGTCCTGGGAATTCAAAAGTTTACTTGTAAAAATATCAGTGTCTTCAAAGGGGATGCAAACAAGAAGATGAACA